TCTTAAAAGCTGTCTTCCTTGGGAACTAGAAAGCTCAGCTGGACACCAGCAGCAAGATTCCTTGTCATGCCAGAAGGAATACCCCACAATTTGCAGCTTCAACGGCAAGTAGTTCTTAAATTCCCTGTTCTTAGATTGCTTCCAGAATGAATTCATGAGTTGCCTGGGCCATTCAATTTACACTTGCATTGTGGGACAACCTCAAGAAGTATAGCATGTCTGGACTGTTAACACACTGAACTGGTATCTAAAAAGACACACTCACAAAGGAGAATGTAAACAATTCCCTTCCAAAGTCTTAAAGCTTTGATGCATAGCTTCTATTCCCATGAAGTTGGGAGACAGAAGCATCACCGAACAACAGATATGTCTTCCCAGTTAACCTTTGCAGCCTGTTCTTCTCTCTCCCAAAACGCGGCTGCTTTAACAATACAGATTTCTTCATTATTTCCACTTTCTCTGTAAAAATCACTTTTGTGAATCTGCACTCATAGACTTGGCTGTAATTTCATCAACCAAAACATAGAGGTCTGCCTTTTCACTTAAACCATAAAGGGAAAGAAAATTGTATACTTTTCTACATTTCCGTGTTCATTTCTGCAAATAACCAGCTGACAAGCATGGAAGATGAGGCAGAAATTTCAACTAGTTCAGTTTTCTCCATCTAGAAAAATACACCATAGAAATATATTTTTTATTTTATTCTTTGTTAATATTACATAGCTGTCATGATATGACAGCTAATGACACAGTTAATGTGACAGATTCTCAGAATGTGATTCACTCAGTCTTTTCCCATCAGCCAGAAAAAAAAAAAAAAAAGCCTGTCAGCTTCCATCTAAACAGAACTAGTGGAAATAAGTCAAAGTAAAGACTTTTGGCAGGAACCCACTCATGTTTAAACTTTGCTGCAGGTCAGCAGGCTTGAGAGACAGGAGATGTTTCACAGCCGGTATCAGCAACATTGAGTATCTTGGTAGTACTTGGAATGGAGACCAGAATTCCTCAAAAGGGCTCTCAAGCAGGATTAGGAGTTTCTCAGGAACAACTTCTCTCTCTAAATGATCCCTTGGGCCCAAGGAGCATCAGCAGCACTGCAAAACATGAACCCGCTCACAGCATCATGACCATTAACAACATGTGATTGCTACCAAAAAATACAACGTAGTTGCTCTAAAATCGTCTGTCCCAGCACCAATCCCTGCCAGCCCTCAAAAGGTTAAATCCTCCAGTGAGGCCTGGCACACAAACATGGCAGTGTGCTGATATAGCCCCCTGTCTTTCTTCTTCATATAAATGTGAATATCACCACCATTAATTTTCTCAAAGGTTTACTGAAAAGGAACTTAAATCACTAACTAACCTCAGTCTGGGGCAAAACAAATAGGCATAGCAGCAGGTAAATAAAAACACCCTGAACAAATAATTTCTGAGTAATAGCCCTCACTAGTGAAGATACCTGCCCTGAAACTCCTGCACAATTCTGAGATGTTTTGTAGTAATTTGGCACTCTTAGCACACTCCGATTGGTTGGGTCTATACAAGAGTGAATACATACACAGCAGCCAAAATAACAAGTATCTGCTTGACAACAAAATTCAATATTTTGAAAAAGCACCATACAGTTCACAATTTACACATGCTTTTTCAAAACTAAAATCCCAGTGAGGCTCGTTTTACAAAAAGTTTAACAAACCTACAGAAGAACGACCAGATCTACCTGGTAGAGTGCCACCCATGCTAAATACATGGCCATGCCAACCTACCTGGCTGCTTTCGACTCCCACTCTCTACCCAAAGCTAGCAAAGAGCCACAGCCATCTTACCACTCTGGTGTCTCAATTTTAGCTATCCAAACTATTACTCATCTTTTGAGCCTTGCAGAATGATAGCTTGGAGCGTCTTGAGTCACGTCAGCATAAGAGCAGGAAACTTAACGTGCATAAACAAATGCTTTGGAAACAGGATCATCCTGTTGGGAGACTTGCAGCTCGCAAGGTGCTTGGTTGCAACAGAATTCCTTATGGACATGGTTTGCCTTAAAACATTATCCTAACAACCAGCCATCTCTTCTTTGCCTCGTAACCAGGGATTCATCACTGA